TAGTAGGTGGAGGCCATCACTATTAGTAGCAAGGACGCTACTAGTAGTAGCTCCTGGCATTACTACTAGTAACAAGAAGATACTAGTAGCCAGAAGCTACTAGGTGGAGGCCATCGCCTTTGCTATTAAGTTGGAGGCCATCGCTACTAGTAGCTCCTGGCATCACTACAAGTAACAAGAAGCTACTAGTAGCTAGAAGCTACTAGGTGGAGGCCATCGCTACTAGGAGCAAGGACGCTACTAGTAGTTCCTGGCATTACTACTAGTAACAAGAAGCTACTAGCAGCTAGAAGATACTAGGTGGAGGCCATCGCTATTAGGTTGTAGCGTCCTTGCTACTAGTAGATCCTGGCATTACTACTAGTAACAAGAAGCTACTAGAAGCCAGAAGCTACTAGGTGGAGGCAGTCGCTACTAGTAGCAAGGACGCTACTAGTAGCTCCTGGCATCAACAAGAAGCTACTAGTAGCTAGAAGCCACCAGGTGGAGGCCATCGCTACTAGTAGCAAGGACGCTGCTAGTAGCTCCTGGCATTACTACTAGTAACAAAGCTAGAAGCTACTAGGTGGAGGCCATTGCTATCAAGTTGGAGGCCATCGCCACTGTAATAGCAAGGACGCTACTAGTATATAGCTCCTGGCATTATTACTAAGGACGCTCTCATCGGCATCTGTCCCGTGGTTTTAGTGCAATGTTGGTGTTCTGGGTCAGTTGGGTTCGATCATTGTTACTCAAAGTGGGACACTGTGGACAGGGCGCAGCGGGTCTGGTAGCTAGGCTGTTCTCAGAAAGGAAACGCTTTCTCTATTCAATTACAGTATATTAAATTCAAACGTTGATTCCGCAGAGAGGGTCGATTCAGGTGTTCTCAAGTGATGTGAAGGACCTCTCGGACTTGCTTTGCCAAAGCGCCAGGATCTGGATCGCCTGCCCATAGGCCGTGATGGCCTCACTCGTGAGATGAAACTGAGATGGATAATCGAACTCGGGCGATTCAACAGTCTTTTAAAAGCTACGTGGAGCCCTCCAGCTTTTTCCAGACCACCCATTGCCGCGTATACGGAATAGATACAGAATAGTTGCCTATATACATTGTATGTAAACTTGTATGCAACTAGTCCAGTCCCATGGATGGTCTGCGTTAAACAATCAGAAAACAATTCCACTCAAAAAATGTCTGACTCACTAACATGGAAGTGGATGGCATGGTCCCGAAAGGAAGACTACTTTCCTTTAAGAACAGGGGAATTTCCACCACTTTGATGTGTTCGTCGGAGTCAATTCAGTTCTGTGAACAAATTCAGAGACTCAAACCCTAGGGATCCACATACCTTCTCAGAGGGTACTTGGGCCCTCCAAGCCTGCATAAATAGTTGGATCCCCAGTGAAAAAACATCCCCAGCCTGGAGGCTGATTCCATCTGATTCCGCAAATCAACAAAAGTGTGTGATGATTCACATGCCACAGCGATCCCAAAAGCCGGGCTCCAACAATACCTCCTCATGTGGTTGGACTCCCCAACCCACCATAACCATATTCGAGACGGAGGTAGGCCAGGAGCCCAAACCGGGAAAAAAACAACACGCCAACCCACGCATCGTCGATCAACCAAAATGCCATCGTCGATCGACGTGGCGTTTCGTGGGTGCTGAGCCTCTGGGAACCCCCCGAAACGCCTCACCAAAGGCTTTCCTCTGAACGGCAGCATTGCCTTGCTCCTTTTGCCTGGGAAGAGCAGTGAATGTTCGAAACCCGCGACGTAACTCGCTCGTGCGCGAGACAGGAATGAAAAGGATACAGTACAGTAGATATTTAGAAGCGAGTGTGGAGCGCGATTGCTACAAGGACACAAGGATTTGACCGGCAACAAGTGACATGCTATCTTTTGGGGCTGCAGCGACGCAAATCACTTACTTTGCATCCAATCAACATCGACACAGGTTCTATATAAAGGAGTCAATCACTGTGTTAAGGAATTGTATACTCATGTACAGTAGACATCTGCGGGGCTCATGCAGTTCCCCTCCTGTCCCTTCTGCCCAGGAAATGTACAGGCCGTTCTGAAATCTCGACATCTCCTTTTGGAGTACCGCTTCCAAGTTGCTGACCGCACGCAAGAACAGTTTCTGAAGGAGAAACGTGCATTGATCATGTTTTTCTCCGTGGACTTTGTCTTGTGTTCGGCCCTTTAACATCTCCACTAGCTATCCGAAAAGCTTCAGCTTTCATCCCACGCCAAAGAGGCTATGAGCTGAACATTAGAAGCTGAAACACACAAGAAAGGGAACATGCACCTCAGAATCACCAAATGGTCCTACAGCCCCAAACCACAGTAAACAGGAACACAACAAAAGCCTTCCGCCTTCCGGATGCCGGTTCCAAAGGGAGGAAGGAGGTGGGTGCCCCTGTCACATCCACGGCCCCTGGCATGATGGGACTCAAAAACAATCCGACATGAAACTGCATGTAGTTCTACCAATGCCTGCAGATTCATACCCTAGGGCTCCTGGCGTAAATGCTCAGAAGGTATGACTGGACCCTCCTGGCACCCACCCCAAACACTTTCTCAGAAGGTACTTGGAGCCCCAGGGATAATTATGACCCTGGCCACTTCGTTCTTTGCTCCAGGCCACTTCGTGGCTGCTTCGATCAAAGGGATGCAATCCTTGGATTGGCCCAAATGGCCCGCAGATCACTGGGAGTAACATGATGTTCTTCACTTGGGAGACACGTGTCCACTGGATGCTTGTGGACAATCCTTGAGTTCCGAGCTTGTGTGGTGAGTCTCTGGAGCCAACAGAATATGTATAGGTCCTATGCTCCTCCCGTCGACCTCTGATTTTATATACATGAATTGCATGAATCAATCATGAATCAACCAATAGATGTGTCTTTCTGATTAACCAATCATGAATCAATCGGACTACCCCACACTACCTATAATAGGCTTCCATTGGGCACCCCTTGGAGGGTCCTGGTAATGATGTGTCTTTCTTTAACCACCCCAGCTGAGCTGCTCAAGAACTAGTCCAGTCACCAGTCCCATGGCATCATGTGTGAAAAATCCACACACCTCTTGAGAAGGAAAGGGCAAAGTCAAGTCTTCGGCTTTGGCATGTCGTGGAAACTATACCCTTAAGCGCCTTAAGTCTAAAGACCCTAGACTTGGCCCCACTGTTGAAAGACAACTCTTGGACTCCCAGCATATACGTTCTAAAGCGGTCTGAAGCTTTTGGGGAATGAAGGAGTAACAAGAAGCTAGTAGAAACAAGTGCCTTACTAGTAGTAACAGGTGCCTTACTAGTAGTAACAAGATAGAACCCCAAAAACCCTTCACGACAGTCACGGACGCGCGCTTGTCGGATGCCGGCGAGGTCCCGGGCTGACCAACAACCACACCGTCACCGCGCCACCGCGATCCATCGTGTCTAACACGACTGTAGAAGCAAACACCAACAACCAACAGGAAGGACTCCCAAGGAAAACATATCTGGACAATCCTGTCTGGGTGTCCAATGGACATCTCTAAGATTCTCTAAGTATGTAGGGAGCGATTTTGATGTGGAAGGTGGGCATTTTGCATCCAGTGGTGAACTTCAATCAGCTTCAGCCTAGCCGTCTCTGCTTTGATGTCGAGTGTGGGCAGGTTATTTTCAGTCGGGCAGTGTCATCACTAAACATGTCAGAAAACATGCATCATCTACCAGTGATCTTTCAGCAAACTGGGACGTGTTTCTACGGACTTAGGACCAAACTGAGGGTTCCCACAAACCAAACCAACATGGATCAATATGGACCTGGAGTTCACCATCTTATGTTCAAATTTTTCTAAGGTACTTGAAGTCGGGTCCCCTCGGCTTTTCGTTCGGCACCTTATCTCCCACCAGGAGTCAACGATCTGTGGAGGATCCTCGGCAGTCTTATCTCCCGCCATGGCGGATGCTGCTTCCCCACTGATCTGCCTAGAACCACTCTGATCGCTCAGGGAGATTGCAAAAAATGTGGAAATCAGGATAAAACGCTGATGAACACCCCATGGTCAAAGAAATGCAAGGATACCTGGATCCTCCATTGAGTCAAAAATATCTGTGTTGATCACAGTAGTCGGGGTATGCTCGTCTAGAGTACTTTGGAGCAGGGTTCTGGTATCTTGAAGTTCTGGCTCACTACCTGATTCTGTGCTATGGAGGATTGGCCATGTGAGATGAGGCTGCGGCACACATTCGGGGTTCAGGTCTGTCAGGCGCCGCCGGATGTCCATCCTTTCTCAGTCATCCATCCCTAGGGATCCACTGCCTCTGAGAAGAAGGTGAGGAAGGAGACAGTGCTATGCAGGTTTGGAGGGTCCAGTCGTACTTTCTGAGAAGGTACGACTGGATCCCTATAGGGCATGTCCAGTTGATGGAGACATGTGCAGACCATCGTCCGGCCCTCCGTCTGAAGCGCCGATCTCCCCAAGGACGGAGCCGAACAACAAACGGAGAGGACGGTGGGGCTGGGGTTTTCTGGAAGTGTTCTGTGCCAAGAACTTGAGAACAGAAGCCCATGATCGCATCCCAGCCCATGATGCTCCCAGGAACCTTGGAGTTGCGGCGGAGGCATGGAGCCGGGAACAAAAACACGAACCAGCTTGTTCGGGGATTCACTCAGCTTCAGGGATTCACATCACCCAGGATGACTGTCTTCTGATCGTCGTATCGATCCGAACGGCCCCCCTGTCGACATCCGGACGGCCGTTGGATGTCGACAGGTGGAGGGCCTGGCATTCTTGGTGGCCTCGGACCCATCTCCACCAGGGACTTTTTATGCAAATGTACATCGTTGTATAATTAGACATGATGCACATGGAATTCGTGTAACCCTTTGTTTTACAAAAAGGGTTAACGAGCACAAAACATCTTCGCATCATTTAGCTGTTGCATGGGGTGCCCAAGGTCCCACGCCTTCTTTTGGAGCTTTGTCAGGGCTTGTCTCGGCCTGGCCAGCACTTTCGGGGCTTTGTATTGGTTCATTCGTAGCGGGTGACAGCGGAGTCAGGCCTCAAGTCGTTGTATTTTCACATCTCGGTTTGGGGACCAGTGCCCATTTGGGAGATGATGAAGGGCGGCTACTTACTCTTGGAGCGTCATTCCCCCACAGAGCCCATTTCAATCAACAAGTTGCGAAGCCGCTAAGGGTTGAGATGGTGTTATGTCTTCGAAGCTTTTCACCCACTTTTCCCAGGGTGGATTCTGGTGCCGTCCTCTATTCCAAAACAACTCCATCAGAAACGACCATATTGTGTTTCTTTTTTAATACAGCATGTTCACGTCTCGTTCTGCAGAACTTCAATAAAACCTCCGCATCTAGCGACTCTTGTTTGAAGCTTTTAATGCGTCACATGTTCTCGTACGAGTACTTGGCAGAATTCGACCGCTGCCGTATGGCAAGTGCTGCTACTGGGCGATGTGCCTTCCGGCTCAAACAAAGTCCCTCCAAGCCACCAGCTCATGCCCAGTGCCGTTTCCATGCCGCACCAGGTACTACTGCAGGCCAACCACCCCTTCCTGTAGACAAATATACATCGAGCTGTAAGTAAGCAAATACCAGTAGACCAGGGACGTCTTGGGAGCGGTTGGTTCCACGTTCCATCCATCGATTTGGTCCATGGCGGCGGTTCCGCTCGGCCTTGCGGCTAGTTGATGGCGGTTCACCTCTAAAACTCTTCATACACACGACAGGACACAAATCGGTCACAAGCCTGCAAAGACACTTAACAAACCCTTGCTTCCTCCTGAATTTTGGGGTTTGGACCGTCACCCAGTGAGTCAGAATGTGTCAATCCATCCTTTTCGCGCGGACCATCCGAGATGAGACATTTCAATGAAGAACATGTCCATCTTTCGGTGAGCAAATCAGCCTGGACCCTCCAGTTCGTTTCATTGCTGGAGAAGGACATGACCCATACTATGGAAACAGGTACATACCTGTACTATCTTGTACTCATGTTTCCGCGGTTTCTACAAAATTTGGCCGAAGACCCTGTAGTACATCATCCTTCAGAACCTGGTCGAACGGAGCATGTGAGATTGGTTCATCCATCTGGAAAAGAAAAAACTGAACATGGAACTTGAACACATCTGCAATCTATCTCACAGGTCTTGAGGATATGTTCAGATTGGTCACAAGAGCCTCTTTTGAGCCTAAAAATTCTACATGGACTTCTTGTGTCTGACCGAATGCATGTTTGGTGGCCTTGGTGTCTATCTTCTCTTCGTCCTCTTCCTTCTCATCTTTGATCTCCTCAACGGAACTTCAAGGCGAAGCCCCTCGGGACCCCTCACCTGGGACCCCACGTCACATGATCTATCCGAGGCCCCACGTCGGGCCGCGTCGGCGATGTGAGGGGCTGTGGACGTGAGGGAAGCAGGTTGCCGCATGACCATGAGGACTGAAATATATGCCACACCATTGACCCCAGGTCAAGCACCCATATGCAAATATGACATACACGGAGTGCCTGGGAGGTGTGTCATGGAAAATCATTTAAACACGTCCATCGCAAAAACGCTAGGTGATCTTATTGGCGTCATTCCAGTGTAGACCCGACGCCGACATCATCCTTCACCGACATCGCAGTGGGGAAACCCTTTTGTAGGTGTTCCAAAGGGTTGCAGCGATTCCCCTTAATGTTCACCTTTGCCCACGCACATGTGGGAAAGCGATATCCATACATTTGGACTGAATTCAAACTGTTTAATCAGGTAACTTAATCTAAAATCTCAAATGGTGGATTTCTATTTGGCATTGCCCTCCCAGCAGTCCCAAACTTAGTAGGAAACAACATTCTGGGTGGGCTTTCTTTCGAACCACTACTGTTGATGTGGACAAAATAAAAAAAGGTGTACCAGTGAAAACCTTTGTAAAAACATCTTCTGGCAGTCTGCCTAAGTTTCCTTGGACAATCCCAAAAGTTACATTACTTACTTACATAGAAAACGTAAAACCCTGTCAAACATATCTTCGAATGCCTGGTCTTATCTGACGTAAACGTGGACCCGACTTCATTCGTACCCTAGAAAATGGGACATGACACAAGCAAACATTAAAAAAAGGTACAGTATAATGGATCTTGATGGTACTTATAGTTTGTACATCCTTTTTGGAATAACAGGGAAACGATGGAATGCCATTTTGTAGCTATGATTGGGGGGTCCCAGAGTTCGCCCTTTAAGATGCCAGGAACCAGAAAACACTGCCTATAGAATGACCCCGCTGAATCACATATCATCTTCGAAAAAAGGGAGGTCAAAGTGCACTACACAATGGATGGTCCAACCTAGATGAGTAAACTATAAAACCTGGCATTTCATTTTGTAGTGCACTCAGTGGTGACTGCAAAAAATGGCAACCAAAGGATGGGTACCGTCATTCTATATATGCATATCTGTAGAGTAATATTACAATTAACATATTTGATACTTTCCATTTCTATCTCTCTCTCTCTCTGCTTTCCTCAGTGTCACCCATGACCCCGCATAACCGCATAAATTAACAATCTCTGTCTCTCTCTCTCTCTCCCTCTCTCTATCTGTGCTTTCCTCAGTGTCACCCATGGCCCCGCATAACCACATAAATTAGCTGATTTTTCTGACTAGTCACAAAATCTCACATGACCTTACAAACATGTAACATGAGGTTACTACAAAAAAATGTTTATAAAACAATTGTTTTGCTACAAAATGACTGGCCTGCCCCTCCGGCTTGCTTCGAACATGTCACAAAATTTTATTCTACAAAATGCCGGTGGCCGAGACTATTTTGACATTCCCCCGGGATTAAGCATGACATCACTACAAATTGAAAGGCCCCATCCCTTCCCAGGGACCCTCAAAACTAACCAAAATCAAAAAGTATACTGGCCATATAAGGCCTTCCATTCTGTACAGGATGTTAGTTCAGGGATGTTTGTACCCCTTTTCTGAAGTACGACCAGGGCCGAGTCCAGTTGCATGGACATGGACATCGGAAGTTCTTCTGTCGGACTGCAATGCGTTCGAGGTTCGTCGGCCGCCTCCTTCTTGTGTCGCTCGGGCTCTGGCCTGACAAGGTGGAAAAGAAGTTGTGGACAGCTGGGAGCCCCAGGCGTTCATTTTTTTCTGTTCATTTCTGGACTGTCCAGGCACCTCAACCATCGCACGATGTTCAGGGTGCACTCATATCGCACCTCTGGAAAGTTCATTGAAGTCCAGTGCAGGTACATATTGCAGCTTTTTGGGGGGGTCCGGGTATGTTGGAGGGTCCAAGCCTGGCTGGGGATGTCCCACTTAAAGCCCGCGAGGCACTTCTGGCTTCAACCCTCGGTACGGGTCCTGAATGATTTCTTTGGCAACTGAGCTCAAAGCTGGATATTTCGTGATGTGTCTTGCAAGCTCATGCGAGCACTGCCACCGGTTCAACAAACTGCACGTGCATGATCGCCGTGGCCACTCCCGGACCGCAACTGCAAGCGCCAGAATGCAGTGGGCACTGCCGGACCTCAACGGCAAGCGCCAAATCGCAGTGGGCACTACCGGTCCTCAACCGCAAAATCGAGAACCACAAAACTCACGACCATGGCAACATGCTCCTCACCATGGCATGAAAACAAATCATTGAAATGTTGTGGAGGGGATCACTCGAAGTAAAGTAATTGCTCAAGGTTTCTTTGAATTCAGTGATACGTGAATTCTGTCCTTTACACTTAGCCTGTCCTTTGGATTGAACACTGATCTTTTCAACCGTTCATCACTGATGCAGCTACTGTAGCGATCAGGTTTATTGAACACATTGAAGAACAAACAACACGTCGAGACCCATAATGCTGACGACATATGACGAGTATAGAATGGTGAAAGTACCATTGTCATCATGATCATGTTCGGGATCACAACTGCAATGGGTGACTTGTGGCCCAGAAGGGGGGTGGCGAAAGCTACGCAAAGAAACAACGCTGGGGCTC